GATGCCGTGCTGGGTAGGGTCCATGGTGGGCGGTGGGCGCGGGCACCTTGGTCGTCCTGGCGGAGGTCTGTGGTGAAGGCGATAAGGTTGCGGCAGGACCAGGCGCAGGCCAGGGGCACAGACGGGCAGTGAGTGCTCTTGGGCCACTTCTCCCACTCACACACGTAGGCCAGGTCCATCCCGCTGGCTGGGCCCCTCTGTCCGGAGGGAGGAGGCTCGTCAGCCTGGAAGCTGGGGTCTGCTGTGTGCATTGGGCATGGGGGTGGGGAGGCCGTGAGGAGGGAGACAGGCAGACCTCTAAGGGGGAACACGGGGCAGACACAGCGAAGTGTCCTTCGTAAATAACCGGGGCCCACGTTGATCACTGTGAGACCCAGCACTGGAGCTCAGGCACCTGGGGTGTGGCCTGGGGGGGCCGGGGATGAATTAAGAAAGTGGGGGGAGGGGGGACGGAGCTGCTCGGGAGGGGGGGACGCTCAAGCTATATTCAGGAAGATTGCTAACCCCATAGAACTCGGCCAGTGAGGAATCGGGGGAAGGGGCCTTGCAAACGAGAGGATAAAATGCTGGTGGAAGGGCAGGGAGGCGCGCCCCCTTTTGCCACTCTTGTCTGTGGTAAACTCTCTCTTACGGCCCACACCAGGAGTTTATGCTGATCTGCCACTTAAGGGGAGAGCCAACGCTGTGCCAGGGTTTCCATGGTCCCCAACAGGGTCTGGGATGAGCCTTGGGGAGGGAGGGAGGGTCATCTTCCCCAACCAGGGTCTGGGATGAGCCTTGGGGAGGGAGGGCGGGTGCACGCGCAGGGTGAGAGGCAGGCAGGTAGCTCAGGGGGAGGATGGAAGGGGCAGCTTCGGCCAAGGCCCCGAGGCGGGGCCGACCCTGGAGGGCTGAGTGGGGGCCCTGGGGGTCCCAGGAGCGTCTCTAGCCCGGCCCGCGCGGCTGCCTGGGGGAAGGAGGCTGGGAACGGGCACGGCGGCGAGCACCGGTGCCCCGCGCCCCGGGACGCTGCCCCACCGTCTGCCCCCTCGCCCCGCCGCGACCCGCAAGCCTTGGCCCCCGGGGGGTCTCCGGCTCCCCCCCCCTCCATCGTTCGGACCACTTCCGCCACCCGCTGACAAGGCGCCCGGGCCGCCTACCCAGCATGCTTTGCGCCCGGGCCCCGCCCCCGGGCCGCGAACCCTCGAGGCCCCGCCTCGGGCTGCCTCACTCCGGTCCGCGGACGCCGGGCGCTCGGTCGGGTGCCCGCAGCCCCACGCTCACCTGGCACGCTGTGTGCCAAGCCGGTCGGCGTCCGCGGTCTCCACTCCGCTAACCCGCCGGCTCCGGCGCCGCCACCTCCCGCGGCACCAACGAGGCTCCAGCGCGGCGCCGCCGTTTCCCAGAGACTTGTGGGACGGCGGCGTCCCCGACTCCGCCCCCTGGCTCATATTTGCATAGGGGAAATATTTGCGTAGCGTTGTTTCCCAGCAGGCACCGCAAGTATATTTGTTCGATTAACCGAACACTTTCTCCACCTCAGCTAACACTTTAACACTTTAGCTATGACGCCATGTGTTGAGCTGGTTACCTATAAAGCATTTATAAACTACACGAAACGTATTACTAGTCACCCTAACTAAAAGTTGTTTATTTTGTTCCACTATAAATGGGTAGTGATGCGCCTTGCAATCTGTGCTCGCTTCGGCAGCACATATACTAAAATTGGAACGATACAGAGAAGATTAGCATGGCCCCTGCGCAAGGATGACACGCAAATTCGTGAAGCGTTCCATATTTTGGTCCTATTTCCAATCTCCCTCCGGGTGGCATAATGGTTACCCGACGGGCTGAGCTTCCTAAAGTCGACATTTCGAAACCACCAGCGTCTCAGTCGACGTGGCTGTCTGCTTGCCCGGCAGAGTTCACAGTCGCGGAAACTCACAGGAGCGGTTCTACCCTGCCCTATAAGGTCACGGTGAGTTGTCAAGGACTCCCCGCTCCCTCCCTCCACCCGCCAGGAGAAAACACAGGCGTTTGTTTCTTTCTTAAAACCTCTTTGTCTTCCCTCCTGGCGCTGCGAAGACATCCCGGAGTTACAGGGACCGGTGCACTATGCGCTAACCCAGACCCGGGGTGCGCCCCGATCCTGGCGTGTGCAAATGGCGGGAAAGGCCCACGCAGCTCCGAATGGGCGGCCTGAGCCCCTGTCTGCACCAGAGCAGCCTGGAGGGGAGCCGTGCACCCACACTCCCCCGAGTACCCCAACTCCCTAGCCCATACGTGATGCGCAAGGCTTGCCCTCTGCGAAACACCTCCCAGGTCTCTGGTCCCCACCCCGGGAACCACTTCTACCTAATATTTGGAGTTCCCCTTCGATGTGGCTTATAAAATACTTAAGTTGCAAGGGCATGGCAGGCGCCCGGCGTCCAGATGTTGTTGTATCACACCCCACTAGAAGGGACAAGAGTCCTGGAGGAAATGCGCAATCCAAGGACGGGGCTGGGCAAGCACAATTCGGCAGGAGTATCTTGCTGCGCAGGAAAGTCAGGTAATGCTCCGTTAACAAGCCCACGGTGTTGGGGTCCTTGGAGAGGAAGGCCGAAGCGCCCAGCAGCTCCCAAAGGTGGAGGTGGAATACCTGGAGCCACAAGCTACAACAGTATTGTATGAGAACAACCCCCAAGTAGGAAGCAAATGTCATCCTTGCTTTTGTACTGCTAGAAATAATGATTGCACACACAAAGAAACGAATCCAGGCAGACTAGGAAGGCGCAGGAGTCTCCTGCCCCCATGTCTGAGGTTAGGAAGATTTTGAGGTATTGTCACCAGGCTAGTGGACCTTACACCTTGCCCAGTTAACCTGTGGTGTATGACCACAGCCCACATCATTTTTAATTCCATCCACTCCTAGGGAGACAGGTGAGGCTTTCTGCTGCCGTACAAACCCACAGGCTTAGGGGCTCTATGAGTCAGAAGGGGACAATGAGTTTTGTTCCGTTTTCATGAGGAAGCGTAATGTCCTCTCTGAAGCTCCCTTAAAAACGTCTCCTTTTGAAAAAATAATAATAGGAGAGGGAGGGGGGAAATGAGGAGCCGATACCAAGGGCTCAAGTAGAAGGAGAAAGTTGTGAAAGTGATGGCAACCAATGTACAAGTGTGCTTGGCACAATGGATGGATGTACAGATTGTGATGAGAGTTGTATGAGCCCCCAATAAAATGGTTTTTTTTAAAGAAACAAAAGTAAAAAACAAACAAATGTCTCCTTTTCCCTTGTTCAGGGGCATGTTGCCTGAGGCCCCTCTACGTCTCCCCATGCCCCCTTGATCCTTCCTGAGCCGCTGTGTTAGTCTGGGTGCTTTAGAGAAACAAACCCACAGAAACTCATGTATAAGAGTTTTATGTTTTATATAAAGGGTAAGTGCACATCAAGAAAACATCCCAACCCAGTGCTGACAAGCCCACAAGTCCAACATTAACCCATATGTCCAACACATATCCACAAATCATCTCACAGAGCACATGCAATGACGACTGCAGGAGGAAAGCCGAGTCAGTGAACCTGTAAGCGTCTCTGCGTTGACAAGGGTCTCCACACGGCTGCTCCAGCACCCAGGTCTATGTGGCTTCTCCTTGGGGATGTCTTACAGGAAGTGAGCCTTGCCAGCTGAAACAGGGAACTGGCTAAGGCAGCTGCACCCTGGTCTGACCATCAGAAAGCAAGAGACACGAGAACTGGAAAGAAACTCCACGATCCATTTATCTCTCTGCCCTTCAATTAACCCCACGTGCTTATTGGCCAGGTTGGCACAATAGACATTAATTATCTCAGCTGGGAAAGAACTTCCCATCAGAAGCAAGAGGAGACAATCTCTTCTCCCTGTGGAATTCCAGATAATGTTGTGGACCCTGCACCCTCAGGCCCGCTGGCCGCTCAGTGTGATGTCCTTGTAAAGGGCACAGCTTGGAAGGCCACAGTGGGTCACCATGGTTCCCGACAGCCCCATTCCAGGAGCTGAAGAACTTGGGGCGACAGGCACACCCAAACTGTCCCTATACTGGGAGGAGCAGTGTTCACAGATTGCTCCCAACACCTCCCTGGAGTCTGCATGTCCAAATTGTTGGGGGGTCGGGGGTACCAAAACACCAAACTCACTACAAAATCATTATATGAAATTTCAGTGGGAAGTAAAACTGGCCATAAAGTGTAGCCAAGGGCTTTTCTGTGTCAGGGCACCCACTTCAGGCCAGGGATTTGCCTGCTTTGATCATCTTAGTAATTATCCAGCCCACTCCGGTGGTTCATTCAGAACCGACTCACCTGGGGCCACATGGCTGAAAGGAGGTGGAGGAATTAGAACCCAGGTACCTGAGAGATCAGCGGCCCCCGCCCCCCCCAAAGAAAGACATACAGCCCGATGGCAGAGCACCAGAAATTTATTACACCCTTCACTTTCTCCAAAGCACAAGAACTACGCACGCGCGCGGGGGGTGGGGGGTGGGAGGGTGGTCCCCAGCCCTGCTCTTTCAGCTCAGGGCAAAGACCTCAGGCCGCGCCAGGCTGGGAGGCAGAGGGGATGTGGACAGGGACAGGGTTTTCTGGGGGCGGAGCTTCTGGCTGGAAGTCCGGGGCCCCAGTAAGGGAGGGGGAAGGAGGTGGGGGCAGGGGTGTGAGGGTGGGGCACTAAAGATGCCCCCACGCCACACGAGCAAACCACATCTACCAGAAGGCACCAGGCAGGCGCGCTCCAAAAAGAGGGTGGACCAGCCCTTACTGCGCAGCTCCAGGCCTGGGTTTCGGGGCACATGCGCACACGCACACGCACGCGCACAAACATGAGACATGCTCCTGGGGCAGCAAGGTGTGGGGCCCCATAGCCCTCAACCCCAACAAAGCTGGGTGGGGGCTGGATGGAGCCCCTCCAGGTTTCTGGGGGTTGGGGGTGGGCAGAGTTTCAGCCCTCCCGCCGAGACGGGAAATTTAAAATCTACAACAAATCACGTCAAAATCCTTAAAAGGGATTTTTAAAAACCCAGCATCTCCCTCCTCGCCCGGACTTCGGGAAGAAGCCAAGCAGAGAAGTAACTCGGAGGTGTCCAGGCCAGGTCTCCCCCCAAATCCGAGTGTCGGAGCAGGCAGCTCCAGGGCCACTGGGAAGGGGGTGCGCTGGGGGGCTAGGTCCAGCCACTAGCCCTTATGGAAGAGAGCTGGTGGGGGTCGGGCAGGGTGAGGAGGGCGGGATTCCGGGATGAATTCTAAAACAAGGGCAGAATCATTTCAGCAGGGGGCGGGCTGGGCCCGGAGGGGTGGGAGTGGGGGGCCGCCATCAGCTGCGCTGCTCCAAGTAGGCCGACAGGAGCAGTCCAGGCGGCAGAAAGTCCAGGTGTCGGTTGCTGACTTTCATCTGTCGCTTGCCCTCCAGGTCCGCACCTGGATGGGGGGGGCAGGAAGGCGCTGTCAGAATCACAGGCAGATGGGCAGGCAGCTGGGGGAGGGGAGGGTCCTGCTGCTGCTCTGGGGGGTCCTCCCGGGTAGAAGTGTCTCGTGACCATAGCCTCACTCATTCTGTCCATCATCCCATTACACAAGTCTTGGGGTTGGGGGGTACCGAGGTCAGAGCACTGGACCACACACTACAAGGTCAGCAGTTCAAACCCCCCAGACACTCCCAGAGGAGCAAGTTGAGGCTGTCTGCTCTGGTGCAGACAACTGTCTCAGAAACCCCACACAAGGTCCATGTGAGTCTGCATCCACTCGGCCAGTGGGTTTTCTAGGTTGGGATTTGCCCCATTACACAGATGGGGAAACTGAGGCCCACACAGATGCTGAAGGTGGAGCCTCACCCGCCTTCTCTGGCCTCTAGCCTGGTCCCTGTAAGGCGGCAGCCTCCGCCTCTCTAAAGCGTCCAGCACCTGGAGGGCATGCTGCCCGTCGCATCTCCCTCCCACCAACCTCCTCCCTCCCAAACCAGAACTCTCTCCGCCCAACCCACCACTCTCTCCTCACGCTGGCCGCAGCATGACTCCCACAAGAGAGGTCCCCCCCACAAACCTCTCCACAGAGTGTGGGAACAAAGGCCAGTGTGGGGGCTACCTCGTCAGCCCGCCCACCTGCTGAGGGAACAGAACGCACGAGGAGCTATCCTGGGGTTGCCACGGAAACCGTTTCCCAAGCAACTCTAGGTGGGAGGATGTGGCATGGAGGAGGACACAGGCTTGGGGAGCCTGAGCCTGCCAGGGCCTTTGAGGCCCTCAATGGGGGCGTGTCCCGAGATACCCTGCACGAAGTGGGGACCAGGCCAGAAGGGGGGCTTGCTCTTCCTAGGGGGACACAGAGGCAGGACTCTGACTACACCATATCCCCCATTACTTCGGAGCCTATTGAGACACTTCACCATCTCCAGGCACCCTGAGCCCCCACCCTGACACTGTGGCTTGAGAGGGGCCTGTGTCCGGCTGTCCAGCTCCCTGCACTGTGTCACTGCATGGGGCCAAGCTGACAAGGGCTGTGGCCAGCTAAGTGCATTCAGTCCCACCCAGGCCAGGGAGCCTCCCTCCGGGTGACCAGACCCCAAGTGACCTTCGGCCTGGCCCACCAGACACTCACTGGCTGAGATGAGGTCCATGTACTGGCAGACCGCGTGCAGCAGGAGCCGCTCGAAGCTGCAGGAGAAGGGGCGGTGAGCAGACGTGGGCTGCAGCCGGGACCGGAGCCCCTGGCCCGCGCGCACCCGCGCGCACCCGCCCGCCTGCCCACTGCTCACCTGCTGTCCAGCATGGCCGTATAGACCGCCTGGGGGGACACTGAGAAGAAACTCAGTAGACGTTCCTCCCAGGTCTCCAGCGTCTCCTGTGAACAGAACCAGAGGTCGCGCCCTACCCTGGCTGGGAGGCCCCCAATGCTGACCCACCAGGCGACGCAGCTGAAACGTCTCTGTACCTTTGCACACCTGTGAACTTCTACTCACTCTGCAATGCCCACCACTGTTGCCCTCCCGCTCCCACGCTCAGTGCCCCATTAATTCTGAGCCCAGTGAGGCACCTCACCATGGGGATGCGGCTCCGCTTGAGGATGGCGCGCAAGCGCCTGCTGATGCGCTGGAAGCACTCCCGTGGGCGGTCGGTTGGGTCCTCTGCAAGAGGCAGGGATAAGCTGCCCACCCAGGCTCCACCCAATCCGCTCCAGCCCCGCCCACACGTCGCACGGCCCCGCCTTCAATCCCTCTGTAGCGACCCCCACACCAGAGCCTAGCCCTCTCACCCCAACCCCACCCCTGGCCCCCAGGCCCCTGCCCACAGACCTCATGGCTCCACCCCACGATTCCACTGTGCCACTTCAGGCCCCGCCCCACCCACCCTGGTCCCACCCACAGATCGCATGGCTCCACCCTTGTCCCCCTTTACCGCAACATCTAGGCCCTGCCCATGCACACAGCTCCGCCCACAGGTTGCAAGACTCCACCCCTGGGGCGCTCTGCTCACCCCAACCCAGCCCACAGACCTCAAAGTTCCCTCCGTGAGTTCCTCTACCTCCAGACCTGAGGCCCCGCCCCATCCCCTGGCCCCACCCACAGATCGCATGGCTCCACCCCTGGCCCCCTCGGCCTCCACACTCAGGCCGGGCCCCCAAGCACCTCGCCGCTCCTCCCCACGGCAGGGCCCCCTCTTCCTCTGCTGCGCCTTGCTCCTAGCCTCTTCCTCCAGGTAGTGCAGCACCCGCTCCTGCTCCTCCCCGGAGCGGTTCATGAAGTCGTTCCAGACCTGGAAGAGAGGCCCGGGAAGATGGCTTCGACCCAATGGGCCTCCGTGTCCCCGTTCGCCAAGGGGACACAGTCAGGAGAGGTGCCTAGTGGGCACAGCGTCCGGGCTGGGAGGTCCCGGGAAGAGACCCGCCACGGGTGACTTCGCCTCCGGGTCCGTCCGCACATTCATCCCCAAGTGTGGGTGAGCGGAAGGCACCGGGTCGGCTCCTAGAGGTAATGCATAACCGCAGTGTATAATCGCAAGCTCAGCAGTTCGAGTCCCACCAGCGGGCTGTAGGAGGAAGATGAGGCCTTATGCTCCCTGAAGATTCATAGCCTGGGAGGCCCACAGGGCAATTCTATGCTGAGTTCTGGGGTTTTGTTTGCTTGTTTTGTGATGACCACCAGTATTGGAAGGTCCTGGGGGTTCTGGCCTGGTCTGGGGATACGGGCCAACTGATGTGGCAGTAGGGGTGGGGGCCTCGTGAACCTGGGAGGTGGAAATGCGGGGTACGGAGCCTACCTTGACATAGGTCTCATTGTTGCAGGCCTCAGCGAAGATTCCGGGGGCTGCAGGGGGTACCAGGTCCCCCTCCTCTAGGCCAGGGGTACCCCCGTCAGACTCCAGCAGCGTCAAGAGGTACTGGGCTGGGTAGAAACAGGGTTTCTGGGCCACAGGGTCTCCATGGGCACCCACAAGTCATGCTTCTCCCCTCTCAAATTCCTTGCCTACCCCC